CGGGAGCGCCGCCACACTCCCAAGCAGTGCACTGTAGCAGTGCGCCACCGGGCCGGCCCCTTTTGTGGATTTTTTGGTGTTCAAGTACAGTGGCGATATTTAAGCCCCAGGGAATTCTTAATTGTTCTCTTTGGTGGCAGATTAACCAAAGGCAATCTAGAAGGGCACTATGTATCTCTCTGAGTATTCTTTCTACATTTTGGTCTCTAGGGATCTCTCCCCAGATGGAGGTCACATGTGTGCCCACTCCCACAAGCACAGTGTCCTCCATAGGTAACACAAATGGAGAAGAGGTGGGACCATCTGTCTACCTGGAAAGGCTAAAAATCCTCCGACAGCGATGTGGCCTGGACAATGCAAAGGTACTGCTTCTTTCCTTCTGTGCACATCAGGGAGGGCAGTGACAAGCAGGTCAGGGACAGGCTGGCCCATAGGGGAGGGGCTCAGTCTTGGTGTAATTTGTTCTGGAGCTGCATCTTGACCTGCTTGTCAATGTCTCCTCTTCTCTCAATAGCAAGATGACCGACCTCCTTTGACCTCTTTGCTCTCCAAACCAGCAGTTCCTACTGTCGCCTCTTCCACAGACATGCTCCACAGCAAACTCTCTCAGCTCCGGGAGTCACGGGAGCAGCACCAGCATTCAGACCTGGATTCTAACCAGACTCACTCTTCAGGAACCATGACCACATCCTCCTCCACAGCTAACATTGATGACTTGAAAAAAAGACTGGAGAGAATAAAGAGCAGTCGCAAATGAAGCTGCTGCATCCCCTGGCACCCTGCAGCTTTAGTTTACTAAACTAGAAGTCTTCATAGTTTAAAGGGGCCTCAGCAGGCCTAGTGACACAGACTGGTTGTATGTATCATGCCGTGGAGCTGGGGGAGGAGTCATTGTGGCACAAGCATTTGTACGTACTCCTCTTTTCTCCGTCAGCACCCGCCTCTCTAGAAGACTGTCTGTGGATTAGTTTAGTGTACAGACTTGTAAACAGCCACCCTCCTCTCAGCTCAGACTAGTTTCCGTATCCTTTTTCTTTTGTTTTATTTTTAACTGCTCATTGTAAAATCATCCTAATCTTTCCTAGCTTTAACTATTAGAAACTCTTTTAATAGTTTTCCTTTCAGTTTGTGAGCTCTTCCCCCTGTAGCCCTGAAGGGTCATTGTATTCTGTATGAATGCATGGCATGATACAACTAATTTAAGAGTCTTTTATAAATAAAGTTTGCATTAACTGTCCCTGTCTCCCAAGATACTCCATATTTGGGAGTGTTGGGCAGCTCTTTCTGTCACCTGTCTTGGGACCAGCTGGGTATTCAGCCAGTTAAAGAAAGGTTAATTATTGCTTACCTATCTCCACCTTTTCTTGGCTCACAGACTTGGAGCTTTTACTCCTTAGGAATAGAAGGCAGCTCCTGGGGAGCAGAGAAGTCTCATCTGGTTTTGAGGTCTTGGTCATGACTTCCCTCCCATCATCACCAGTGGTTCCAAAGAGCTCCTAGGCATCCTGTCACTTTTCTGCCCAAATGCACATGCGATTGCACCTGGGGATTGACCAGACTACACTGCAACTGGATTTGGTTCATTTGACTAATGGAGCTTGGGAGAGCTTAGTAGTTTCCTGCCTGGTTTCTGAGTCTCTTTTGGTCAAGACTAACAACTGCTTCACATT